TGAGCAGGAGGCACCCAACACCCCCAGTCTGAGCCCAAAATTGAGGGGGAAAACCAAAATTCAGTCTCAAATTTGAGGGGAAAACCCCAAATTCAACGGCAAAATTGAGAGGAAAAACCCAAATTCAGCCCTGAAATTGGGAGAAAAGCCCAGATTCAGCCTCAAAATTGAGGGGAAAACTCAAATTTGGCCCCAAAGTTGAGGAGAAAACCCCAAATTCAGCTTCAAAATTGAGGGGAGAACCCAAAAGTCAGCCCCGAAATATAGGGGAAAACCCAAATCCAGCTCTAAAATTGAGAGAAAAAACCCAAATTCAGCCCCAGAATTGGGGGGAAAACCCAAAATCAAACCTGAAATTGAGGGGGAAACCCCAAGTTCGCCTTAAATTGAGAAGCAAACCCCAAATTCAGCCCCAGAATTGAGGAGAAACCCCAAATTCAGCTTCAAAATTGAGGGGAAAACCTCAAATTCAGTTCTAAAATTGAGGGGAAACCCCAAATTCGGCCCCAAAACTGGGGAGAAAAGCCCAAATTCAGCCCCAAAAAGGAGGGGGAACCCAAAATTGAGCCCCAAAAAGGAGGAGGGGACCCCAAATGTAGCTCAAAAAAGAGGGGGGGACCCCGAACTGAACCCCAAAAAGGAGGAGGGACCCCAAAGTGAGCCCCAAAAAAAGGGAGGGACCCCAAATTTAGCTCAAAAAAAGGGGAGGCACCCCAAAATTACCCCAAAGTCAGCCCCAAAAAAAGGGAGGGACCCCAAATTTAGCTCAAAAAAAAGGGAGGCACCCCAAATGTAGCTCAAAAAAAAGGGAGGCGCCCCAAAATTGAGCCCCTAAAAGGAGGGGAACCCCAATTTGAGTTCCAAAAAGGAGAGGGGACCCCCAAACTGAGCCCCAAAAAACAGGAGACCCCCAAAGTGAGCCCCAAAAAGGAGGGGGCACCCCAAATGTAGCTCAAAAAAGAGGGGGGGCACCCCAAACTGATTGCCAAAAATGAGAAGGACCCCCAAAGTGAGCCCCAAAAAACAGGAGACCCCCAAAGTGAGCCCCAAAAAGGAGGGGGCACCCCAAATGTAGCTCAAAAAAGAGGGGGGGCGCCCCAAACTGATTCCCAAAAATGAGAAGGAACCCCAAAGTGAGCCCCAAAAAGGAGAGGACCCCTCAAATTTACCCCAAAAAAGGAGAAAGGACCCCCAAACTGAGCCCCAAAAAACAGGAGACCCCCAAAGTGAGCCCCAAAAAGGACAGGGCACCTCAAATTTACCCAAAAAAAGGAGAGGGGACCCCCGAACTGAAGCCCAAAAAGGAGGAGGGGACCCCAAATGTAGCTCAAGAAAGAGGGAGGGACCCCAAAATGAACCCCAAAAAGGAGGGGGGACCCCAAAGTCAGCCCCAAAAAAAGGGAGGGACCCCAAATTTAGCTCAAAAAAGAGGGAGGCGCCCCAAAATTGAGCCCCTAAAAGGAAGGGAACCCCAATTTGAGTTCCAAAAAGGAGAAGGGACCCCCAAAGTGAGCCCCAAAAAGGACAGGGCACCTCAAATTTACCCAAAAAAAGGAGAGGGGACCCCCGAACTGAAGTTGGGGGGTTTTGGGGGGCTCTGGGGGTTTTGGGGGGCCCTGGTGACCCCCAATCTCCCCTCAGGGCGCCTGGAGTGGCCCCTGGGTGTCCTCGGAGGTCGTGGCCGCCGCCGTGGGGCTCGTGGTTTATTACCTGGCCTTCAGCACCAAGAGCAGCATCCAGGCCTGAAAAACCCCAAAAGCACCCCAAAAACACCCAAAAACCATTCAATAAATTTATCACAGTGAAAAAAAACACCTCAGTATAAAAGAAATGCTTTAAAAAACCCCAAAATCACCCCAAAAAAACCCAAAAACAATTGGACCCCAAAGTCAGCCCCAAAAAAAGGGAGGGACCCCAAATTTAGCTCAAAAAAGAGGGAGGCGCCCCAAAATTGAGCCCCTAAAAGGAAGGGAACCCCAATTTGAGTTCCAAAAAGGAGAAGGGACCCCCAAAGTGAGCCCCAAAAAAGACAAGACGCCCCAAATTGAGCCCCAAAAAGGAGGGGGCACCCCAAAATGGAGCCGTGCCCCCCCAGGCGCAGCGGAACAACGAGGACGTGTCGCGCATCCGGCCGCTCTTCAGCGTCAACGTCGAGCACCAAAATCACCCCAAAAACACCCAAAAACCATTCAAAAAAATCTCCCCACCCTGTAAAAATCATCTCAGTCCAAAAAAAAAACTAATAAAACCCAAAAAATACCCCCAAAAAA